CTATTTAACCTATCTACATGGAAACGATACCGTTTCCCTCAACACCCCCCCCTCCCCCGACAAGCTGACCATGTATGGAATGGATGGGCAGCTTGGAGATAAGTTCTTGAAAAATGGATACCCATGTGAATAGCAGATTTGCGCGCTTAAGATGGCAGTCTAGCTCTATGTGCTTTGTGCGCTTATGCTGGACTGGATTGGACGCCATGTGAGTAGCAGATTTGCTATCACAATGAACCTATAGTGGTAGTTGTACTTGCTGATGCAGTTCCTTGAGCAGGGATGATAGCCATTGCAGCTCACATATTGTTTCTGCCAGAGCTCTATACTCAGCTTCTGCTGAGGAGCGGGAAACAACCTGTTGCTTCTGAGCAGCCCAGGAGATCAGAGAGTGTCCGAGGAAGACACAATAGCCCGAAGTAGATCTTCTGGTGTTAAGACAGCCTGCCCAATCCGCGTCAGTATATGCATGAAGATCAACAGATGACTTTGCGGAGAAGAACAGTCCTTGTGCTGGTGCTGCCTTGATGTAACGAAGAACCCGTTGAATTGCTTGCTGATGAGGAGTTCTGGGACTGGAGACAAATTGTGCCAGATAGTTTACAGCGAACTGGAGGCCTGGTCGAGTATTGCAGAGGTACTGCAATCGGCCTACTAGTGTCCTGTAGCTGGTTGCTTCATCCTCAGAAAGAAGTTCTCCTGCTGTTTGAGATAATTGTAGTCCTGGCTCAAGAGGAGAGTTGGCAGGCTTGGAGGCCAGCATGCCTTGGTCCTCTAGAAGTTCTAGAGCGTATTTTCTCTGGTTCATGTGTATATCTGCAGAAGAGCGAGCTATCTCCATCCCAAGAAAATATTTAAGCTTACCTAGGTCTTTTATAGTAAAAGCTTTGTCTAGATGTTCTTTTACCCTATTTATCTCAGACATATCATTACCAGTTAATACTATATCATCCACATAGACAAGTAGAGCAGTGTAGGTAGTAGGTTGATTTTTAATAAACAAAGAATAATCCGATTTAGACTGTGTATAACCAAGGGAAATAAGTGTGGATGTTAGTTTGAGGAATCACTGTCTACTGGCTGATTTCAGACCATATAGACTTTTGGTTAACTTGCAAACTTTGTTTGCATCAGCAGGATCAGTAGTTAGGCCAGGGGGTAGAACCATGTATACTTCTTCATCAAGGTCTCCATGTAAAAAGACTGTATTTACATCTAAATGATGCAGGTGCCAATTATTAATAGAAGCTAAAGTTAGTAAAGCTCTAACGGTGGTAATCTTAGCGACAGGACTAAAGGTATCAAAATAATATAGGCCATAGTTTTGAGTGTAGCATTTGGCAACTAACCTAGCTTTGAAACGTTCTATGGATCCATCAGACTTATATTTAACTTTAAATACCCATTTGCAACCTATTGGGATCTTACCAGGAGGTAAGTCAACTAATTTCGAGGTCTTGGTGTTTATAAGAGCTTTGAGCTCTAGGAGGACAACTTTAACCCATTCTGGATTTTTAATTGCTTGCTTATAGGTTTTAGGTTCCTTAATTTTCATGATGGCTAATGCAAAGTGCATATATGCAGGTGACAAATCAGTGTAAGAAAGAACAGATTCTAGAGGATATTTACAGTGGGGTTCTGTTGTGGATTGGCAAGTATTGGCAGTGGTTTTGAGATTATGGTGATAATTGGAGAGATAGGATGAAATTTTGCTTTGTCTTGTTGATCTGTGTAACTGAGGTTCCACTGATTGTTCTGGTTTGGGGATAAGATTGGGTGAGGGAAGAGGGATGCTGTTATCAGAGGATGAAGGGATGGGAAGTGGTTGTGCTGGTTGTAAAATGGGGAGTATACTGGTGTGTAAGTGGATAGGTGTGTCAAAGGAGATTATGGTGGATAAATTTGTAGGGTTAGTAGTAGATGGAGGTGTGGCAGTGGGCTGGGGAGAAGCAAATGGGAAAATGGTTTTGTGGAAAGTTACATCGCGAGATAGAAAAATCTCTTTGGTTTGAAGATTAAGGAGTTTATATCCTTTTGTACCTGTAACATAACCTAAGAAAACACTAGGAATGGCTCGTGGTGCTAATTTGGATCGATTATGGGATAATGTTGATGCATAAGAGAGAGAACCAAATACTCTAAGATGAGAATAACTAGGTGGCTGACCATGTAATAACTCATAAGGACTCTTACTGGCTAAAAGTGGAGAAGGGAGACGATTAATAAGATGAACAGAATGAATAACTACATGATTCCAGTAAGTAGAAGGTAAGGAATATTGAAAAAGCAATGCTCGTGTCATGGCAAGTAGATGTTGGTGCTTGCGTTCAACAATTCCATTTTGTTGGGATGTTTGAACACAAGTACGTTGATGCAAAATACCATTTTCAGTGTCAAAATCACTGTATAAGAATTCTTAACCATTATCAGTTATTATGGATTTGATTTTCTTATTAAATTGTGTTAAAATAAACGTGTAAAAGGATTTTAACAAAGGCCTAACCTCTGATTTTGTTTTCATTAGAAAAATCCATGTATGCCTAGAGTAATCATCAACTACTGTTAGGAAATATAAATGACCAGAATTAGAAGCAATGGAAGCTGCACCCTTTATATCAATATGTAGAAGATCAAAACATTGAGCAGGTATAGTTTGACTAATAGGATAGGGTAATCATTTCTGTTTTGCACAGAGGCATACAGAGCAATGAAACTGCTTATTCATAGTGATAGCAGGATCTATAGAATGTAGTAAAGGTAGTTTTGCATAGGGTAGATGTCCTATACGATAATGCCAGAGATCAATATTGGATTTTGGGGAAGATGAGTTTTGGACAGAGTTGGATATATGTGTAGATGACAGGCTATGTTGAGAAGACAAGCAAGCAGCATGAGGATCTAGTTGGTATAAGCCATCTCGAAGATTAGCTATACCAAGCGTCCTCAGAGATTGGAGGTCCTGTAGTAGGTAATGAGAACTAGCAAAGGTCAGTCCAAGTGCTACCTTGGATTCCAGTTTGCTTACATATACTAGATTAAATGTAAAACTAGGGACTAGAAGGACATCATGTAAGGTAAGGGAAGGGAATATAACACACTGTCCTATATGGGTAATAAATGCTTTATCACCATTAGGAAGGTAAACATATATAGGTGAAACAGTTCTAAGAGAGCTAACTATATGGTCAGTAGCACCAGTATCAAGAATCCATTTTGGAGATGCCTCAACCAACATACAAGAGGATTGAAGAACAGTGACCTTACTTGGTGGTGTAGGAAGAGCATGAGTGGTGATGGAGAATGCCTAACTGGCATATGGGAGGCCATGAGAGACTGGCATATCAGAGATAGCAGTAGGAGTGTTGTAAGGAGGATGAGACTGAGAGGAACTAGAAGCCTGAGCAGGGTCAGACTGCTGTTGAAAGTACTGGGACTGCATGAACTGAGTCATCTTTTGATAAGTTTCTTGTATCTGACTCCATTCTTGAGGTGGGAATGGAAGTGAATGATGTTGTTCATCACAGTAACCATCTTCTCTAGACACACAGTGAGCCTTTGCCTTGCCTTTGTACCCAGGAGGAAACCCATGGAGCTTGTAACACTTGTCAACAGTGTGACCATAGGAATGACAGTGAGTACAGTAGGGTCTGTTGCTACCAGAGTGAGGTGGTGGTGGATAATTTGAGGAAGGAGGATAAGGAGATCTTGATGGAGGATTAGTGGGATTCCTACCAGGGGTAAATCCTCTTGAGTACATCGCCATTGAAGCAGGCAAGGAAGGTGGGGCTAAGACACGATTATGTTTTTCTTGCTCAATGATCATAGCAAAAGCTTGGTTTAGACTAGGCGTAGGGTTTATCAACATAATCTGGGAACGAGCAGCAGCATACGAATCGTTGAGACCCCTAACAAACCTAAGGACATAGTTGACTTGATGATTCTGACGAACTATAGTTAAACCACAGTTGCAAAGACCATTGCATCGACAAGGAGGAATCGGCAAGAAATTATCCAGTTCATGCATCCAAGTGGTCATCTGTGTAAATTAGGCACTTACAGACTGGGAGCCTTGCTTGAAGCGGAAGAGATCTTCTTGGAGCTCAGTGATGCGGAAGTTATTGCCGCGAGAAAATCGTTTGCGTAACTCATTCCAGACAACTAGGGCGTCTTTAAACCACTGAAACCCTAGAGCAATCGACGGAGAAATGGATCGAAGGATCCATCCAAGAAGCAAGGTGTTGTTTCTTGACCAAGCACGAAGGAGAGGATCGCCAGGAGAGGGCTTCGTGATGGTGTCGTCGAGGAATTGCAGCTTGTTCTCTGTTGATAAAGCACGAATCATCGCTCGCTGCCGAGTTGAATAATTGGTTTCATCAAGAACAGGAGAAACCAATTGCTGGCTAAGGCTCTCAGCTGGATGAATGAAGAATGGACTGTTGGGATCGAGATCAGCAGCGGTGGTCTGAGGAAGCGGAGGAACATACGGAATCGTCTGTGGTGGCGGGACAGAAGTAGAAGTCTGATTGGCAAATGCCATTATTGCAGAGAAGAAAGTGAACGAAAGCTTTTAGGAAAAACGAAAGAGAAATCAAGAATACCCTGATGGCTCTAATACCATGTCAAAGTCTTAACAGATCGATTGTTTGAACAGAGAAAACTGGAAATTGTATCTGTACAGGGAGATTACTTTCCCTTTATATACGACTCTATACAACTCAACTAACTATACACTGGTTAACTCCTAACCTATCTAACCGGTTCATTCATGAATCAATAACCTATCTAACCTATCTACATGGAAACAATACCGTTTCCCTCAACACATTAGGTCGACCTGCCCCGACCCACACCCAATGATAAATTACCCGACTAGGACCCGATCTGCCACGAAACAGATATGGATATCGAGGTACCCTCCCCAGAACTGCCTCATTACCATTCCTATTTCCTTCTATATATAACTGTATGCAGAGTTGCACGCACAACATACAAACTAATCTGGCCATTATGTTTTAGTTGTGAAAGTGAAATAAAAATATTGAAAAAATGTGGAGGCTGAAGATCGGCGAGAGCGGGAGGGAGCCTTACCTGTTCAGCAAAAACAACTTCTGCGGGAGGCAGACATGGGAGTTCGATCCCGACGCCGGCACCGACGAAGAGCGGGAGGAAGTCGAGGCCGCTCGCCGTCGTTTCTGGGAGAACCGACACGGCCGTGTTAAAGCCAGCTCCGACCTCCTCTTACAGTTCCAGGTCATCACTGATCCAGTAACTTGATAATAACATTATATATGAATCGAATATATAGTTCTGTTTATACATATGAGTTTGAAGTTTGGACTTTGTTTTTTAATGTTTTTATTCATTTTTATTTGCATGCTGTGCAATTTTTTGAAACTTACCATTTTATCATCCGATTAACTTCTCAAAGCGATATCAATCAAAGATTTCATTATATTACACGTATTAAAAATATTTAAGTTTGTGGGAAGGAAAAACGACATTCACCATTTAATTATATAGTTCAAGCATTTCTAGAGAATTTGTCTGGTATACACCTGAATAAATTTATCTAGCAATGATATAAATGAATAAATTAATGAACGCAGGTGCCTGAAATAGGTTTAATTTTATGTTGTTGTATCGTTATACTATGGCAAATGAAAAAATTAAAATTTGAACAACAAACCTCTTTTTTCTATGAAATGATTTGTGATTTTATTTTATGGGATAAGAGTGATACGTTTATTTTTTTATAGTTAGGTGTTACTCAAGAAATTTAAACTTGAGATCTCTAGGTTATATATCAGTGGTATCACTGGACATGATTGGTGATTTTATTAAAGAATGTTTCCATGTATACATGAATTCAAGCTCTTTTGAGGCTAATGTTTATACCATTAGAGTTATTTTTCTGAGTGAGCCATAAAGTTATAGAAATAACAAAAACACAAAATTGAGAAATTCCCTTGATTCATGTATATTGACTATTGAGGTATGTTGGATTCTAATTAACCTAGTACGAGTTTATCCCTGTAGTACTTTCCACTAAGTAAGAAGACTGTACCGACAAAAGTTTGATTAGCATCAATACAATTGGTTTCAAGTTTCCACTTTGCTGAACGAACTGCCCAAGCTAAGGACGTCGGTGTTGGTTCCTTCTTTAATATTGTCACCGATTTTCTCGTACACAATATAGCTTGTACGTTAATTAACAGATGAAGAAATTAGAGTCACCAACCAAATACAAAGTGACAGAAACTACTGAAGATGGACCACACGTACGGAGATATGAGAGTGATGGCAAATGCTTGGAGTGGGTATATCAAAACTCATATCTTTTTTCGTATAAAGTATGAGTCGGGATGGGTAATACCCGCTTGGATAGATGAAGCGGTGGTTCGACACACTTTAACGAATGAAAATAGTGATACTGGAATGGGTAAATGAGTCTAACTGGTTGAAAAATTAAGTCCAAGTAGTTGAAGAAAATATAGGAGAAATATGAATAAATATTTTAAGAAATTGAGATAGAATAGGCCAAGAACGAGGCGAGCAGGGCGAGTCAGAAGTAGATACCCATGTCTCGCCCCCCACGTTACTGCGGGTCCAGTAATATATACCCGCCACATCGCGAATTAGGTCAGGTAATACCCGGTGGGACGGGTTCAAATAGTCATCCCTCGACATGAAAAATATCATAGAATGAAATAGGTTTGTTAGTTGGTTTGGTTATTTTTATTCGATTATCGGTTAATTGTTAAACAAAGGTTAATTAAATCGGTTAACCACAACTTTATAGTTAGTTATTGAATATTATGTTGATTAACCGACTAACAATTTGGTAGCTGATTCGACTAGGTTAGACCAAAATAACCTATAAACAATCGAACCAACATAAGGCCTCCCTATTTTTCTTCAATTGTTATCTTTTGTCAGCCCAATTCATTTGATTTTCACGATCCAATTTTGATGTCTACATTTCAATCACAAAAATAGAGTTTAAAATGATGCGAATTGGATTTTTTTAACTTACTAGCTAGGATATAAACTAATTTTTTTTTCCCTCAGTTTCTGAGGGAGAAAAATTTTAAGCAAACCATTCCAAGAGTGAAGGTAGAAGACGGAGAGGAGATAACGTACGAGGCTGCGACAGCTGCATTGAGAAGGAGCGTTCGTTTCTTTGGGGCTCTTCAGGCCAGCGACGGCCATTGGTGTGCTGAAAACTCCGGCGTCAACTTCTACACTCCGCCTCTGGTGAGTACCTTTCTATATATGCTGTTGCCTAATTAAGAAATTGATATTCCTTCGTCGCTAATAATTAATTAATGTGAGTTGGATCCAATATAATGTTGCAGGTATTTGCTCTGTATATTACAGGCCACCTCAACACGGTATTAACGGCAGAGCATCGAAAACAAATTTTACACTACACCTACTGTCATCAGGTACGTAGTCCAAAATTTATATTGAGTGGTGTTCCAATAGCAGTAATAGTGTGACTTGAAATTTGAGAGCGACTGACATAGATTGCGTTGCGGGGTTGATCAATATATATAGAGTGGTGTTCCAGTATTGTTAGTATTATTAATCTAAAATTAATTTTTCGTTAGCAGTTTTGTTAGTAAGATTGATTTGACAATATGATATGGACTGATAAGAGATATATGACGGTCAACATCCAATTAAAATTTTTTTTTTTAAAATTTTGGCTAGTAAATGATGTTTACCTAAACCCAAGTAGACACATTGATTATGGGCAGGGTACGGGTGACGTATATATGGGTTTGGAAGTTCGTAGATGAAAGTTTGTATTCCTTTTGCTTCTCTCTAGAGTTTTTCTTTTTCACCCAGGCTAGAATTTTCAACAAATATACATGGAATTTTTAGCTAGATATCTACACATATCAAATCCTATAGTGGAAAATGATGACTTTCTAATAAGTAATAACCATATATATTTACTTTTAATTGGGCTCGACATTGAGCTGAAAAAGTTAGTGGTTCATAGTTTAATTATTAGTTCTCTAGATTGTTGGTGAGTCTTGTATGGACCCGTTCATACTTGTGATTAGAATATATAAAAATAGTATACTAATTAGGGTTAGACGAAGAAGGCAAAGAAAAAAGTAAAGAAAAGGTTATGAAAGACGAATGAAAAATGAAATGAAAAGGAAGTAGATGATGGAAAGGTTTTGACCAATTTTTTTAGTTGGCCGTCAATACAACAGTCAACCCTTTTCACCGTAACAATTTATCAACACTTACCTATTTAGATGCCGCATATTTTGAATTTTGTTACATGTAGGTATTAGAAGTTTGTTTAGTACCCCGTAAGTGTACTAAATGAGTTTAGAAATTCGCTCTTCCAATATTTTAGAGTCGTATCTCTTTTATAATTTATCTAATGTTTCACGGAATGAGCAAATATAAAATGGTTGAATCTTTTATGTTATGGTGGATTAGATTCATGGATTGATTCGAAAGGATTAGTGGATTTTATTTGGATTCATTGATTCAAGTGAAATCTAGCGATTGGGCCAATATGTAAATTTTAAAAGTTATAGGTACGAAAATCTCATAAAATTTAGATACCAAAACAAAATTGTTCAATAATTTTATATTTAAATTAAATTTGTGGTATCAAAATGTAAAATTTACATTACAGTGACTAAGTTGTGATTTATTAAAATTTGGGGTATCAAATGGTAAATTTTTAGGCAATAGTAAGCTAACATCATATACTAAATGAGTTTATAAATTCGTTGCAATATTTTAGAGTCGTATCTCTTTTATCATTTATTTAATATTTCACGTAATCAGCAAATATAAAATGGTTGAATCTTCTTCAACGGTTGAGTGATACAACATCTTGTATTGTACAAACTAAATTTATACTTTTATGTTATGGTGGATTGGATTCATGGATTGGTTCGAAAGGATAAATGTATTGGATTCATGGATTTAAGTGAAATCTAAATATTGGGCCAATATGTAAATTTAAAAAATTGTAGGTACGAAAATCTCAAAATTTAGATACCAAAACATAATTGTTCAATAATTTTATATTTAAATTTAATTTGGGGTATTAAAACGTAAAATTTACATTATAGTGATTAAATTATGATTTAATTAAATTTGTTGTATCAAATGGTAAATTGTTAAGCAACAGTAACCTAACTTCAGCTTTATATATATTAATTAATGTTATGGTGGATTGGATTCATGGATTGGTTCGAAAGGATTGGTGAAATGGATTAATGGATTCTTAAATTGTTGGTACGAAAATCTCATAAAATTTACATACCAAAACATAATTGTTCAATAATTTTATATTAAAGTTGTGGTATTAAAACGTAAAATTTACATTTTAGTTACTAATTTGTGATTTGATTAAATTTGGGGTATCAAATGGTAAATTGTTAGGTAACAGTAACATAACTCCACCTTTATATATATATATATATATTAATATTAATATTAATATATGTAAAAATAGAATGAGGATGGCGGATGGGGATTACATATAGAAGGCCACAGCATGATGTTCTGTACGGTGCTCAACTACATTCAAATGCGGCTGCTCGGAGAAGGAGCCGACGGAGGCGAAGATAATGCTTGCGCGAGAGCAAGGAAATGGATTCTCGATCACGGCACTGCAACTGCGATCAGCTCTTGGGGCAAGACTTGGCTTGCTGTAAGTTTATATCCTTGTAAGTTGTAACCATGCAGTTATCTTATCTTGAGAAAGAAATCGTTAAATAATAATACTAATTATATAAATAATGATGATGATGATGAATTGATGATAATGATAATAGTAATTTCAGATCCTTGGTGTGTATGAGTGGGATGGATGCAACCCAATGCCTCCAGAGTTCTGGGTCTTCCCCACTATCTTCCCAATGCATCCAGGTGAGGTTATGGTTTCTCTATTATATTATTAACTTTTTCAAAAAGTATATATATATATATGGTGGCTTTTATTGTGTCGTGTGTAAAATTTAGGGTACGACATACCTTCAGTAAGAAAATGCTATCTAGATCTCGAATTAACTGGATTTTGGGGCATGATACTATATCCACCATTGATGAGCGAACCCTAGGTCTTAGTTTTCTAAATCATAGAGCCTAACTCCTAAGCTTGTGCATGGAGATTGTTGCATATATTTTAACGAATCATAACCGTCAATTTTTATTTCTTATTAAATTGATCTTAGTATATGAGATTTATAGGATTTTAACCTAGATTTTGATTAGGGCTGGCAATTTGGTCCCAGACTGTTTGGTTTTACCCGAAATCGGACCGTATAACCCGGACCGGGACCGGACTGGGACCGGATAGCAAACAATGCAATCTCATATTCGGGCTTAGATTTGAGGTAAAAAAATCGGATAAGAGCCCCCAACACCAAAAATCAAGATAAAATTGGGACCGGACCGGGTCAAGACTGGACCGGATTGTATCCAATCCAATCTTTAGTCCTTATATTCCCGAAAAGACCAGACTGGGACCGGATCAATTTGGTCCAATTTAACCGGACCGGACCGTATAGCCACCCCTAATTTTGATCTTTAAGTGTTTGGGAATATTACTAGATGCCAAACTCTGGTCAATTCAAGGTCCATGTATCATTCTTTTACTCAAGGTATGTCATACTCAGTGCACCCGCCTCATAATTGTCATTCTAAGCATGCGACTCATGTCAAAACGGTATCAATTGTTACATATGATATTATGAACAAGAAGCACATGAATTTGAAGAAAATCATTCAAAATTTAGTTTAATTTGAAAGATTTAGGATTTGGGGATTTAGGGTTAGGGTTTAGGGATACAATTTGGAATTTTGGGCTGTGATTCAAAATTGAAGGTTAAGAGATGAGGGTAATAGATTGATTTGTTATGATTACATGTCATATCATCATATTAGATTGAGAGTGCTAATTAAAATTCAAAATTTGATGTACTATGGACACTTTTAGAGTTGGGTGCACTCAGTGGCCAGTGCACCCAAAAAAGTAAGTGCGTCGAATTAGCCACCAATATAAATTATCTATTAAATTCTTCTTCAATTGAAAAAATAAAATAAATGATAGATTTTGTCGGATGTGACATCATATTCGAGTCAGGTACTACCTTTTCCAAAATGTCCTTAACAAATAAGAAACATTAAATATATGTGATAAAGCGGAAACATTGTATACGAGAAAACTGAATACTGAAAATTTAAAAGATCAACCTTGCGTGTAACATTTTACTAAAAACAATTGCCTTCATAAAACTAAATAAACTCTTTAGTCTCATCAATTACCAAACTTAACTAACTTCCTATTGGGGGATTTTTCCAAAGTAGCATTGTTTAATTTTTTTTTCCAAAAATAGCACCAAACTCCGAAAAATTCCAAAAATAGCACCCTTTATGCAAAACCGCCACCCGTACCAGCGGTTTAGGCAAAAACCGTCACCCGGGAACGCGTTTTTCGATGAAAACCGCACTGGCAGGGGGCGGTTTTACAGACCGCACCCCCACCATGCGGTTTGGTTGCAGATCGCACCCACACCATGCGATCTGTTTTTTTTTTTGTAATATCCTAACCTAGGTGGAAACTTCAAACGAACGTATCTTTGTGTTCGGGTATCCGATCGTCGCAATTTTTTTTTATTCCGCAGAACTTTTTGAGATCTTGCAAGTCAAAGACTGCCGAAGGTAGTGTCGTCCCACCTTCATCCCAAAAAATGTCGTTTGCTACCCCGAATGAGCTTTTTTCCGATTTCGTCAAACTTTGGACAAAAAATGTCGGCAGGGCCTGGTACTACACACCGACTGCTTTTACTGTGCATTGTGACCTAAATGTAGTGTTCTATCCTGGCGTGGGGTGGCATGTGGGCGGGTGTTGGGTGTTGCCTATTTGGAATCGGATGGGATTTGCCAACTCGGTTGTGATGGAACTCTGATTTGTTTGTTGCTGGTTCGGTTGGTGGTTGTCGACCGCGTTGGTCACCAACCTTTAGAGACCTTTATATGTCTGGGGCCTGCATAGGTGCGCGGATCGATGTTTATTCAGTTACTTTTGGAATGTTCAGTAGGGAAGGGATCGCAGTGGTTGGAGATGTAGCGGGTTGGGGGATGTGTCTGTTGTGTATCAGAGAGGTTGAGACAGACAGCGTTGTCTTGTTTTTGACGAAATCGGAAAAAAGCTCGTTCGGGGGTAGCAAACGACATTTTTTGGGACGAAGGTGGGACCACACCACCTTCGGCAGTCTTTGACTTGCAAGATCTCAAAAAGTTATGCGGAATCAAAAAAACATTCGCGACGATCGGATACCCGAACACAAAGATACGTTCGTTTGAAGTTTCCACCTAGGTTAGGATTTTTCAAAAAAAAAAAAAAAAAAAAACAGATCTCATGGTGGGGGTGCGGTCTGCATCCAAACCGTATGGTGGGGGTGCGATATGCAACTAAACCGCATGGTGGGGTGCGGTCTGTAAAACCGACCTCTGCCAGTGCGATTTCATCGAAAAACGCGCCCCCGGGTGGCGGTTTTCGCCTAAACCGCTGGTACGGTGGCGGTTTTGCAGAAAGGGTGCTATTTTTGGAATTTTTCGGAGTTGGGTGCTATTTTTGGAATTTTTTTTAAACAGTGCTACTTTTGAAAAAATCCCTCCTATTGGAGTCCTTTAGAACGTCGATCACGTGATGAAGATGAAATGCTGACTTTCCATGTGTACTGGTACTTCTACAAATTCTGAGTGCGGGCGTGGAGTCAGTGCTAGTCCTAGGTTCATTTGACTTAAAAAATAATATACTCATTATACATAAAAGGCACATCCTCATTCAAGGCTTTTATACCCATCAGACTACACCCTCCAGGGGCGGTCTGGTAATTTTGCCCCAGTCAAAACCGCACCTTCCCGGCGCGGTTTACGCTCCCCGAGGGTTGACCGCTCTCTGGCGCTGCGGTCTTCGATCCGTGGCAAGGATCGCTGACGTGGTGTGCTTTCTGTCCGCTAGATCGCCACCTGATTCTGCGGTCTCCAAGGTCGTTGCGCACCAAACACAGACCGCACCTTGGAGGTGCGGTTCCCAGTCTGACGTGCGCAAAACGCACCTCCAAGGTGCAGTTTATACATAAAACGTACCTGGAGGGTGCGGTTTACATATAAAACGCACCTTCGAGGTGCGGTCCATAAAAGAGGGTGCTATTTTTGTAAATATTTTCGGCTGGATGCTATTTTTGTAATTTTTTTTAAAAGTGCTATTATTGGAAAAACCCCGTAGTATTACTCTTGTGATTGTTTTTTAGATGATTTCCGCAATTTTTATTTCATTTCATTAGCGTGGAAGGATTTGAGAATATGTTAATTGAAATGTGTTAGGTAAACTATTGTTATGCATATGTGAAATTTGTGTTCTTTAAGAAAATATGAAGCATGTTTGATATTGTTTCTGAGAACGCTCATAACCCGATATGACCTGTAACCCGACCTGAAACCGAATGGGTTGGGTTAATATTTGACCCGAAATCAGCCAACCAAATATGACCCGACCCGTAACCGAAGTCCCCAACCCGAAATTACCCAACCCGACCCGATTGCCAGGTCTAGAAAAGTATGACAATAATTCACTCGAATGAAGAAAATTAATAAAAACAACATAATTTCATGAAAATATTATATATATATGCTAAATATAAAATGTGTTAGAGAAAAACAATGGTTATTTCTAGCCCAAAAACATATGTATGTGTATAATCGGGCGGGTTCGGGTTGAATAATGAGAAACCCATGCCCACCCATTACCCAAAATATTCGGGTTCGGGTTTTACCCGTACCCATTAAACGTGGGATGGGATTAGGTGCTAACCCTTATAGGGGTTAGCATCGTGATAACTAGCAAAAAACGCTACTAAAAATAACGAAATCACTACGGATTATTATAAAATCAATACAACATCTAAGCTAAATCACTACTAATTCAAACTAGTAGTAGTTTTTCCCTTGGTTAGGACGGTGCTAACTATTGTACAATTAGCACCATAGCCGTTCCCATTAAACGTCCTTCGGGTTCGGGTTTTACCCTACCCGATTAGGCCGGATTCGGGTGGATATCCACAGTTACGGATAGTTTTGCCATCCCTAGTGGTAACTTGTAGTAAACAATGATGAAAGTCGTAAATGATAGTTAGTATACTCCTACTATCATGATTCAACCTTCTTACCATATTGGTATGTTCATATCATCATGGTACACTTTCATACCATATGGTATTAAATAGGAGCATACCATATGGTAATGACTGGTAAAAAATTATTCAATTTTTTTGTACTAAAAATATATCAAAGTGAATATAATTTTAAAGAGCACAATTAATCTGATTTATCTATGCAAAAAAAAATTAAATTTCAACTTAAAACGAAAGAAAAATCGTCCGTTAAAGATTGAAGGGGAAAATATAAAAGAGTTTCCAGGAGATAGAGGATACTGATGTCATCCTGATGTAGACAGGTTACTCATGGTTACTGACCTGATCCGTTCCCAAAAAAAATTATCAATTAATTACACAAATTAACCTATATTTACGCAGAGCACTTCTACTATGCTATATAGCATTGGTGCTTTAATGTACAACTTGAAGTTGTACCATAACATTAAATGTATAAGTTTAGGTTGTACCATAAAGGAATTTGTATCATTATGTGATGGTACAACTTCAAGTTGTAAAGTTGTACCATCACATAAGGTACAACTTTAAATTGTACCATAACAAAATTTGTACAAAAAGTATATGTACAATCTGAAGTTGTACCATTACGTACAATTTCAAATTGTACCATAAAGAAAAAACTTATAACACCAATGCTATAATGCTATATAGCATTGTAAAATTCCTCTAGCATACAATCTATCTTTCACGCAATTTCATCAATCACTTTTCTTACACAATCTCATAAACAAATACGTAATTCCATAAACGAAAAACCAATTGTACTTATTGCGTGATTGGCGATTTTAATAATTTAAAGAAAAAAAAATATTCTCCATTTTTTCATGAAATTCAACTAGAGTGTGCCATATTTTGAATCCTAAAGCTGTGACAAAGAAAGTTGAAGTTAAGGATATGTTCTGTTACTATAGATTACTAATAATTATTAATACATATTATTGGTGGCAGCAAAAATGTTCTGTTACTGCAGACTAACTTTCATGCCAATGTCATACTTCTACGGAAAGAAGTTTGTTGGTCGAATTACACCTCTTCTTCTGCAAATAAGACAAGAAATCTACAGCCAACCATATGACCAAATCAACTGGGGCGGCGTCCGTCATTTATGTGCAAAGGTTGTACTTCATAGAGTTCAAATTTCCAAACCATATATCCTATTTAGCATTTTTTTTCTTCAAATGGTCTAAACTATATACTCAAATTTCCAAACTATATATTCATCGAAATGCTATTTTCTATAGGAAGACAATTACTATCCGCATGGTGTGACACAAAAACTTTTATGGGACGCACTTTACAACTTTGCCGAGCCTTTGCTAGCACGATGGCCTTTGAACAAGATGAGAGCCAAAGCGTTGGAGCGGACGATGGAACACATTCACTACGAAGATGAGAACAGTCGCTACATCACCATTGGGATTGTTGAAAAGGTACTCATAGTAATCTTTTTGTAAATGTCCCAACGTTTCAAAGTCACATATTTTGCATGTCGAAAAACAATGTTCGAAGATATAATGTAGCAAAACTTTTTCTAAATGTTGCAAGGTTCGATAGGCACATTTTCATATGTCAAGATTAATGTTAGATAATGTAGGTATCGAGACTTTCTATAGATCTTGTAGTAACTTTAAGAAACGAAATAAAAAAAGGACATTTCGATGCAATCAACCGTCATTTTTTTCATAATTGTTCGCGCAAGACTACATCCATATTTGGACATCGTTAGGTGATGTTTTAAAATGACGCCAGAAGCATTTTCTAGTGCGTCATATGACCATGTATCATCTAATGAATTACTTACCACTTTGCACGACATGATTTATGTGTTACTGACTAGAATGATGTTGCTCGAACTGTAATAGCCACTGAACATGCTTGCTTGTTGGGTCGATGATCCCGATGGACTGGCCTTCAAAAAGCATCTCGCTAGAGTTTCAGATTACTTATGGCTTGGAGAGGACAGAATGAAACTTCAGGTAATTATTCATGGTACAGTTTGACTGGTATATGAATAACTTATGAACTTGTGAAATGTATTTTTTTTCCCCACAGAGCTTTGGTAGTCAAACATGGGACACTAGTTTTGCCCTCCAAGCCTTGCTTGCCAGTGAACTGGTTGAAGAACCTTCAGTCATATTTGGAAGAGGACACAACTTCCTAATGCTTTCCCAAGTAGTTGAGAATCCTTCTGGGGATTTTAAGGCGATGTTTCGTCATACGTCGAAAGGGTCTTGGACATTTTCCGATCGAGATCATGGTTGGCAAGTTTCAGATTGCCCTGCTGAAAGTTTAAAGGTAACTAGCTAGCTCATATAGTCATATGATCATCAAGGGTCGATTAAATGGAAAAATTGGTTGATTATGTACCAAAGATCAATAGTTACCCTTGATTGTTTATGCTATATACAATCCATCTTTTTTCGTTTCTACTGTTATATATGAACTATATAATGGATGCAGTGTTGCTTACTATTCTCAACAATGCATGCTGACATCGTTGGAGATAAAATTAAACTCCAGAACCTCAATGATGCGGTTAATATCATACTCTCTCTTCAGGTGAATTTATAAAGCTCTGTTGAGAAAATGATAATAACTCAACTGGTTGTTTTGCCTTTAATTATATTCTAAATTTTTTTTAACAGAATAAGAAAAATGGAGGGTGTTCAGCCTGGGAGCCATCAGGAGAAAAATTATGGTTAGAGGTACCTAAAGAATACCTTAATTTTATTTGTTTTCATTTTCTTGTGCTGATTATATTAAGCCTCGTCAATAAAAAGAATTCAATTTATAGTTTTCTAATCTTTTTTTCCATTTTCTTCTACAACAGTGGTTTAACCCCGTGGAGTTTTTGAAGGATCTTGTAATTGAATACGAGTAAGTACATCTGTGTATGTCGTCGTAATTACATAATATATATTTTCATTATGATTTGTGAGACCATATCGGTAGTTCAACCACAAAATACCAGTACCAAAGTTATTAACGGTTGAACTACTCTCAAACCACAATTTCACCATACAATACCGGCCTACCGCTGACCTTTACGGTTCAATATCCAGTACTGTACAGTTTCACAAACCTTGGTATATGTACATTTATGACGGCATTGTTAGAGACATATACGAATAATTTTATGTCTTCTCAATCTAGTAGTTTGTAAAATGAGATTGAACGATATCATTACCGACTAAAACTAACTTAATGATTTTCTTTCTTACAGATATATCGAGTGCACCTCATCCTCAATACAGGCCTTGGTGATGTTTAGGAAGTTGCATCCGACACATAGAGTCAAAGAGATTGAGGATTTCATTTTCAAGGCAGTGAAATTCATTGAAGAGATTCAACAACCTGATGGCTCATGGTAATTATTTCATTATACGAATGCAATTATTATTGCATTAACACAACATCATTAGTTGCTTGATGATTAAGGGACCATCTAATTGTCCCACTCTCTATAGGTATGGAAACTGGGGAATTTGTTCAATTTATGGTACATGGTTTGGGCTTGGAGGGTTAGTTGCTGTTGGTAAGACATATGAGAATTGTGTTGCTATTCAGAGAGGAGTTGCCTTCCTTCTTGAAACACAAAAAGAAGATGGAGGATGGGGAGAAAGCTATCTTTCATGCCCAAAGAAGGTACATATACATTATACTGCATAGTATATATTGGTAGATAAAACTGGATAATTTTACCTAGTTAATAAAGAATACAATAACCACCATTTTTTGACCCGTTAATAATGATGTGTATAATTAATGTATTATTGTATGACATAATGATAATTTTCCCCCTCACCATGAGAACTAACTGAATATAGACATAAACCTAATAGGCAAAGAGAGATCCTGCACCACTTCATGTTGCTGCAAGGTTGTTGATAAAGTCACAAACTGAGCTGGGTGATTTTCCGCAACAGGTACGAGCATGTTGCCCGTTATATTTGTTGTTGACAAAGAAGACTTACTTTTGCCAAGGAAATTGAACTTTAAAATGGGAATGAATGATTTATTATCATTATAACTAGCTAAATCTTGGAGTTGGTATATATAATATTTTTCTTTTGTGTAGTGATTGAACTAATCTGGAGATATAATTGCAGGAACTTATGGGAGTTTTTATGAGGAATTGTATGCAGCACTATGGAGCTTACAGAAATATTTTTCCGATTTGGGCTCTAGCAGAATATCGTCGTCAAGTTTATTGAAAAAAAAATTATATAGCAAGATCTACCAGTGAAACCAAATATATATTGTATTTCGACATGGGTGTTTGGATACATTATGACCTACTATTATAACTGAGAATGATGTTTTAATGATGTTTTGATACATTGAGCCTTATTAACCACTAGATACATTATTAACCACTTGATAAATTAAGTTATTAGTTTGAGGCTGATTACCCCTAAACCCAATACAAGGTTTTCTAGTTTGAATTGCTCCCCCCCCCCCCCCCCCCCCTCCCTCACCTTCCCCCCGATTGTCATCGAATGGGAATGGATAAGAGGCTTGTGGGATTGGCGTGAGGGGTACATATCCTAGACAATAGCCACATTACAACCTGATGTAAATACTTATGCACAAGTTAATGGTGCTCGATTTTTGGAGACTCGAACAAATTGAAAATATTTAGGAGCTAGCTTCATAGTAGAGAGATGATAGGGTTGAGTGTTAATAGCATGCACATCTTTTGCATAATTATTTTCTTGACCCCACTGGTGGAGTGTTGAGTGAATTCTTCCAATTGACAAAAAACTACAGTGAGGTCCTAGGAACCTCAACTTTGTTTATTTGTTTCTGGATTTTTGTGCTCAGATGAGTGAGGGTACCGAGCGAATTTTTCAGGTTCACATAACATTTTATAAGTCTGAGTAGGCATCTCCTAATTCCTATGTCACAAGCATATTATAGTCAAATCATCTCTGGTGGTTGTCATCGTCATTGTTATGTTATTTTATGTACCTGTTAAAGACCACTTGTGATCCATCATTGTAACTTCCCCCTATGATTGGCCTTGTGTTCTAATGTTTTAAAGGTGAAACTTGTGTTTGAATGTTCTTAGGGAAAACAAAGACTCAAGTGTGGTGGAATTTGATAACTCATAACTTGTACATGTTTTCTCTCCCTAGCTAGTCAATGTCAAATGCTTTGTCATTTCATCAATATTTTGAAGTTTTTACTAGTTTTATACTTGGTTTGTTATTTTAGTGTGTTTCGAATCATTAATACTGAATTTGACGATAATAGGACAAGAAACACACAAAGTATTAAAGTTTTGATACATTGGATGACTTGAAGGCACTTATGTCTAGTGGGGTGTCAGGTTGGTTTTAATTTTTTTTGGCTTTAATTAAAGGGTTAATACCTTATTTTGGCCCGAACTATGACCATATAATTAACTTTGGCTCGTGGTTTCAGAAATTAACATCCTGGCCTCAACTATGCAGCATATAGACTCAATTGGCCCGACACATAGTTTGACCGTCAATTTGGACGGTCAACTCCATTGACCGCTAGTCAACACGCCATGTCATTGCCTAGTCAGCCTAAAAATCATTACAAAATGCAAATTCAAATTATTTTTCTAATTTTTCTTATTTATTATCAAATTAACCAAAAATAAATTATAAAAAACATAAAATAAATTTGATTTTTTATTTTTTGGATAATTTGAAAAATGATAAATTTTATAAATTAACCAAAAATTATCAAATTATTTTATATTTTTAAAACTTCCCACAAAAATATAATTTATATCATAAATTTTAAATTTATAAAATTTATTTTGATAATTTTTGGTTAATTTATAAAATTTATCATTTTTAAATATCCCAAAAAATTATTTTTATATTTTTAGAATTTTATTTTTTGGTTAATTGGAAAATGATAAATAATAGAAATTAGGAAAATAATTTGAATTTAAATTTTTTTAATGATTTTTAGGCTGACTAGGCAATGACATGGCATGTTGACTAACGGTCAACGGAGTTGACTGTCCAAATTGACGGTCAAACTATGTGTCGAGCCAATTGAGTCTATATGCGCATAGTTGAGGCCAGGATGTTAATTTCTGAAACCACGGGCCAAAGTTGATTATATGGTCATAGTTCGGGCCAAAATAAGGTATTAACCTTTAATTAAAATCAAACCAATTACAAGATTAGCGGTTTTTGGTTTTAAACCGTTCAGCAACATAATAATTTTGGTTTCGGTTAAGATTAAAAAAAACAAGAAGGCATTAGCAACTTAATGATTTTCACTGCTCATCTCAATAAGAAATGTTGTAGCAAGGTTGTCAACCCAGTTTAGTCCGATAGTCCTGTCAAGTAAGTGGCGAAGGGTTAATGATCCGATAATTTTAGCCCTTTTTAGCCTGAATAGGTTATTATATTGTTTATACATTTATAAATTATATCAAATTCCAGCTACATATGAGTAATAACATTACACAAAAATAATAGTTCGTACTTGAATCCAACATATTTAAAAATTCAAACACATTAAAATCCATCATATAAGTTCGTGATTGACACTTGAGTGAACTAACACAACCTAAGCAATATAGATAGAGCTCGTGATTAGAAGAGTTGAAACTCATCATTTGTGATTTTACTCCAAATATTGAAATTTCCAAGACAATAAAATGCTTATATTTAACAATAGAAGAGTGAAATTTAAAATGATTTATACGGAATCACATGAAATCTTAATTACAATGTTGAACAAAAGTTGGGTTAACCCAAACTGAGCAACCTACAGAATGAAGGTTATTTATCTCAGTGACCAAATGTGTCATTTACCCTTATTTATCCCTTTCTTGACTAGTTAATTGAGGAAAGCGACGGGTCAATTTGAAATAGAATGGTTGTAGCGTGTGATTGCACCTGGAAAAGCCAAGCAAAGTGGTCTACTGAAATGGAAATTTATTAACTGATATTGTAGAATTTTGACTGGGTTGAATAGCAAAGTGGTCTACTGAAATGGAAATTTATTAACTCATATTGTAGAATTTTGACTGGGTTGAATGGTAACGGATTAGTTAGTAACTTTATGGTGAGTAACCATGAGTAATCCGTCCATATCATCATCCCTCTCTCCTTGAAAGCTTTTAATTTTCACCTCTTTAATCTTTTATGGATGATTTCTCACTTATTTCAAGTCGAAATTTAATTTTTTTTGCACAGTTAGCTTAGATTAATTGTGTTCTTCAAAATGATATCCACTTTGATATATTTTTCGAACAAAAAAATTGAGCCATTTTTTACTAGTCTATACCATCTGGTATTGAAATAAGAGCATACCTATGGTTTGAAAAGCATACCATGGTGGTATGAACAAACCAAGACTGTAGGATGGTTGAATACATGATAGTAGAAGTATATTAACTGCTATTTACGACTTTTAACATTGTGTACCACAAGATACCACCCCGTACCAGGGCGGTATTGTATGGTATTTTGTGGTATTTTTGGTCCTGTAATTTGTTCACCCAGAAATTTATAGATCTAATAGATGATGATGAACTCGTCCCTTCTGTGCAATCGTTTTCAAATACGAATTAAAAACAAAGAAAATACCATATGGTATGCAGTTAGTACCGAGAGGTCAGAATTTTTTTCTCAAGAAATATTGAAAATTGATATCATTTTGTAAAACAAGATGAACTCGTTCCATCTGTGCAAAAAAAAAAATTAAAATCCGAGTTAAAACGAAAAAGATATGAGCCGATCAAAAAAGTTAGGAAAAATAAAAATCTCCATCCTTAGATCTGGATTTTCTAAATGAAGGTTTCAGATTTGGTTATTGATGGGTGTATAACCCATGGTTATGCACCCTATCTTGAACCGGGTTGAATCCCTTGTTTTTCTGAAATTTAGTAAGATTGAAGCATATTTGACGAAATCGGACGAAATCTAAAAAAATTGTGTAGCACCGGGTTTACCAACCGGATTCGAGTCAATCCTCGGGCCGACCCTGGATTAACAACCTTGTGTAATAGTCGTCTATTTCGGAGAGGACCAAATAATTTAATACGCATGACGAATAAATGAGGACAGTTGGGTTGATAATATGGATACATACATGCAGGCTTGCAGCTCGAGCAAGACAAAGTACAGTATTAATTTTATCCTCCCAACTTCTTTCGCCTCTTCCCAGTTCCTTCTTTATATCTAAGTACGCAGAGTTGCAGACACAACATCCAAACTAAGCGGGCGATTCTATTTTTAGTCTTGAAATAAAATATATAGATAATGTGGAAGCTTAAGATTGCGGAAGGAGGGAATGAGCCTTACCTTTTCAGCAAAAACAACTTCTGCGGGAGGCAGACATGGGAGTTCGATCCCGACGCCGGCACCACCGAAGAGCGGGAAGAAGTCGAGGCCGCTCGCCGTCGCTTCTGGGACAACCGCCGCGGCCGTGTCAAAGCCAGCTCCGACCTCCTCTTGCAGTTCCAGGTCATCAATGATCGAGTGTAATTAATAATATTAGTATATATATTAACCAAATATATAGTTATGTTGGGTTTATACATATGAGTTTGTTATGTTTTTAGGGCTAAATTAGACTCACAAAAATTATACAAATCTTTCATGTTTCCTTTCCAAATTACTTCTTTTTCTTATTCGCCACTAACTTTACAAATCGTTTCACCATTACTCATCTGTCGTTACACTCTGTTAAATTTTTCCTACGTGACAGTCAACTATACGTGTTTTATATCGTAAATGGTCTAAGGGTGCGTTTGGATACAATGATTTGGATTTGGTATTTGTGATTTGGATTTCCAAATACTAAATCATGTGTTTGGGTCCAAGATAGGGTCAGTAACCACTGGTTACTGACCCATCAGTAACAACACGCGGGCCGTAGATCCAGGGATGGAGAAATCGTGTGGATGGGCTGGACGCTGGCTGGGGAGGGGCATTTTTATCCGTTTTTGTATTTTTACTTTTTTTATTTATTCCACATTTCAATGACTGATTTTTCAATGAAAGAGAGAGAAGTCTTGTCTCTGCAACTTAACTTTCTTCCTTCTCTTTTCCTTTTTTACAATCTCTTTCCAGATCTTTTCTCTTTCTCTATTCCTTCTCTCTTACTTTTTCTCTCACAATCTCATTTTCAAATCTAGATCTGCTCTCTTCCTTCTTCATTTTTTTTCTCTAGCATAAAAATTGTAGTCACTCTCTTTTATTGCATTTCTTCTCTTCATCAACTCGTTGGACTCAATTCCGATCTTTCTCATTTTTTTGGCATTTTGGTGTGCTTGATTGGGGAAGAGAAAATGAGAAGCATCAGAAGACAATTTTTTTCTCTCTCCCTCCTTCTGTTTTTTTCCTTTTAGATAATATATATTGATATTATGACTCTATACCATATGATATTGGGTGGTAACGAAATATATATTGATATTACCACACTATACCCTATGGTAATTTATAGTGTTGCGTGGTAACGAAATATATATTGATATTACCACTCTATACCATATGGTATTGTGTGATATTACCACACTATACCATATGGTATTGGGTGGTAACGAAATATATATTGATATTACCACACTATACCATATGGTATTGGGTGGTAACGAAATATATATTGATATTACCACACTATACCATATGGTATTGGGTGGTAACGAAATATATATTGATATTACCACACTATACCATATGGTATTGGGTGGTAACATAATATATATTGATGTGACAAATTTTTTCATACCATATGGTATAGTCAATACCAGTCATTACCATATGGTATAGACTGGTAATAACTGACAAATTTTTTAATGCCTGAAAAATATCAAAGTGGATATTATTTTGAAGAGCACAATTAATCTGATCTAACTGTGCAAAAAAAATTAAATTCTGACTTAAAACGAGTGAGAAATCGTTCGTTAAAGATTAAGAGAAGGAAAATTAAATGTTGTTTGAGGAGAGAGAAGGCGCTGATGTGATCTGGTCAGCGTCAGCGCGTCAGAGACATCATTAAATAGGGGTGCAATTTTACCTTAGTGCCCCTCCGTGTTTAATTTAAATAAAAAGAAAATGCTGACACGTGGAGACACATGATTGGATTACTGATAGTTACTGATAGCAAGGATACTGACCTGATCTGGTCCGACACATGATATTAATTACATTTGGTATTTGGATTTGTGTCAAATTCATGGAGTGATTTCCAAATACATGTCTAGTGTATTTTTTGTCAACTTCAAATACATTTCAACAACTAGTGATTTGAAATACCTCCTAACAAAAGAATGGACCTATTTGTAAAATATGAAAAGTTTAGGTTCTATAGTGCGAGGCAAAACATATAAAGGTACCAAAATGTAATTTTGCCATCAAAATTTCAGGACCTTTTTGTAAAATTTTAAAATTTTAGGTACTAAATTGTATTAAAAAAATTTGGGTACCAAACTGTAATTTACCAAAATTTGTAGTAAGTGACCAGAAATTTAAAAATTGAAATTCAAAATCATAAAATACAAAATACAAACAAATTACAAATGAGTATTCAAACAATGAATTTGAATTACATGTATTTCAAATGCTAATATTTCAAATACATCCATTTCAAATGCTAGTATTCCAAATATCTTACATTTAAAATACACTTATCCAAACGCACCCTAAAAGAATTGATGTCGTACGGCCCTCACAACCGTTGGATTCTAATTTACGAGTTTCGAGTTTACTTCTGTAGTACTAATTTTCCTCAACGTTGCATTTCATAACACAGAGGTCTTGTTTTATTATCTGGGCCGACCAAAGCTATATTTAGCTACTCTGTCTGACGCCAGGTGGTGATATATATCCTGGGCTGGGTGGGTATTATATGGCCAATTCAATTCATGCTAAAGGACGCTGGAGTTGGTCCATATCTGACTGAGGCCCATTAACAGCTGAAGCAATCCAGGTCACAAGACCCAGACAATAACATCATGGAAGACATCAAATTTTGTAAATATACCAACATTAATTAATTGTAACAAACAAGCTAAGTCCTATGATGGACTTGGCCTTTTCTAATTTCTATGGCTGAATTCTTGGTTTTGTTTGACCATTTTTTTTTTTGTTGTTGTCTGAACCTTTGGTAGAACGCCAAGCCTACGTGGACACCACGTGTGTGTCACGTCACCCTAAAAAATGAAGAAAAGAAAACAATGTCTAATATTTTTTTTTTTTTTTTCAAAGGCAGATTCGGCCTCCCTTTTGCAGTCGTCGCTTATACGGTATCCTCAGAAAAGAACATAAAAATTCATGAAATTTAAAACTGTAATTTCTAGCTAGTAGCATTTATCTAGCATAACTATCTGTGTGATTCCCATATAAACATATAATTTTATTTTTCCGCAGTTTCTGAGGGAGAAAAATTTTAAGCAAACAATTCCAAGAGTGAAGGTGGGAGAGGGAGAGGAAGTAACCTACGAGGCTGCCACGGCTGCATTGAGAAGAAGCATTCGTTTCTTTGGAGCTCTTCAGGCCAGCGACGGCCACTGGTGCGCTGAAAACTGCGGCGTCAACTTCTACACCCCACCCATGGTATGGTATATATCGTTACTCAATTACGAAACTAATTAATATTTTCTCTGATCGGTCGGTCGTAGCTAATAATTAATTAATGTGATTTGGATCCAATATAATGTTGCAGGTATTTGCTCTGTATATTACCGGGCACCTCAACACGGTAATAACAGCAGAACATCGAAAAGAAATTCTACGCTACACCTACTGTCACCAGGTACGTAGCCCAAAATATATTTTTGAGTAGTGTTCCAACAACAGTAATAGTGACTTGAAATTTGAGAGCGACTGACAAGATTGTGTTGCGGGGTTGATCGATGAGGATTTTTACAATGCTATATAGTATTGGTGTTATAGGTTTTTATTTTTATGGTATAGCTTGAAATTGTACCTTTAAATTATGGTACAACTTCAAATTGTACATATACTTTTTGTACAAATTCTTTTATGGTACAACTTGAACTTGTACCTTTATGTGATGGTACAACTTCAAATTGTAAAGTTGTACCAATACAAATTCCTTTATGGTACAACCTTAACTTATACATTTAATGTTATGGTACAACTTCAAGTTGTACATTAAAGCACCAATACTATATAGCATAGTAGAAGTTCTCGTTGATCAATATATTAATATTGATGTAAAATCAGAACGAGGATGGCGGGTGGGGATTACACATAGAAGGCCACAGCATGATGTTCTGTACGGTGCTCAACTACGTTCAAATGCGGCTGCTCGGAGAAGGACCCGACGGAGGTGAAGAAAATGCCTGCGAAAGAGCGAGGAAATGGATTCTCGATCACGGCACAGCAACTGCGATCAGCTCTTGGGGGAAGACTTGGCTTGCTGTAAGTTTATATCCTTGTAACCATCTGAACTTCCAAAAGGAAATCGTTAAGTTATTCTTCTATTTAAAAAAAAAAAAAAAAGCAAGGTTTTTGTGCGGCCAGAACACCCCAGTGATCAACACGTGTCCAAAGAGACCCAAAAACCTTCAATTCTGATACTTACATATGTTCCTTCACACAAATTCAATCCAAATCGATCTATTTAGCATATTCTGATACTTACATATGTTGCATCATAATTAATCATTGTCAATAAACTACTTTGGTTCGCTGAGTTCCTAGCTACACCTGCTGTATACAAACTAGCGGTCACGAAGGATTTTCATTTTTTTCACCAAGTTACTGCAAGTCCGCAAATTATTATTTTTTCCGCGGTAATTAATACCGCTCAGCCTAATGGTTGTAATAATAATTATTATCAGCTAGTCATTACAATAATTGCAGATACTTGGGGTGTATGAGTGGGATGGCTGCAACCCCATGCCTCCAGAGTTCTGGGTCTTCCCAACTATCTTCCCTATGCATCCAGGTAATTCACTTCTGGTTTCTCGACAAATGTCCAAGCAAATCACATATATATGTAGCTAATTATGGATTTAGACGTAAATTTGTTTGATGCTAATGTATAGGTAATTGTTTTTATAAGGGTGGTATAGGTAATTGTTTTATAGATAGGTGCTATATAAACAATTCGAACTTGGAACATCCTGGTTCAAAACAAGTGGTTCTACAATTAGATCAAGTCTGGTTTACAATATTACATTTTTTAGACGGCAATTACATTTGCTTTTAAAGCACCTTATTGTGACAAAAGTATATGCATCTAATGAATATAATCTAAGGCAAATAATTTATCGGTATTTTACGAAAGTTGTAAAACTATATTGGATATTATAATGAAAAAGTCTGTGATAGGGCATTGAACTAATATACCTAACGACTTGAAATTCTGTGTCCGATATTCATGGTCCAACCAGGTGATAGGGTACGATGTTTCGAACTTTGAAAAATCATATGGCCATATAAATATGCTTTTATACTATAATACGCTTAATAAAAATACTTTTACTTATGATTATAAAAAAATACTTTTCTTAAGATAATTAAATACATGAATTCTGTATCAAATATATGAAAGTGAATACATCAAATTGAGTACAATACTCGTTTTATTAATTATTCTAACATAGTTTGCCTGTGACCAAAAAACACACTAAAAATCTATCTAAATGACTACCAACCAGGTCATCCTTCCCAGACTTATCAACGTTAGTTGCATTTGTATTGTTCTCGCACCTGGACCCTACTCCTCTACTTATTGCATGCCACCAAGCATCATCGTCACCTAAAACATATTTGAAACTTGACAATTGGTAATCTGAAACAAAAAAAAAAAAAGTGTAAACAAAGGAAGAAAATGAGGAAAAATGATGTCATTGGCAAAATAAGGAAGTTGTACATGAAGAGAAACAATATTTTCTCAATTACTAGACAAATCCAGTTAAACATCTACACTAAATCATGCCGATTAAGGGCTAGTTTGGTACTAATGTACCTTTGAAAAATTGCTCGGAGCATTTAGAAAAACACGGAAGAAAATAGTTGAGTGTTTGACAGAAAAGGCATTAGAAATACATTTTTAATATAACTTCTAATATAAGGTAATGACTGGTATACTTTATGAGTATATCATACTCCATATGATATGACCGTAGATTTCCTTTTTTGAGCTCCGGTCAATTAATATTTTCTATTAAATTGAAATTTGAGTTTGAGTTTAGAGAATTGAGTATGGGGTTATCCATTAGAGGTTAGGGTATAATATCATATCCAAACCTCGATTTAATTCAAAGTCTAGATAGAGATATCTCACTATGAGGACCTAGAATATAGTATACTCCAGGAGTACATCAGTCTAACCCATAATATAAGGGGTCGTTGCTTCGTGGATTTGAAAAATGAAGGTTTTGGTATAACTTGGGTTTTGAAAAACCATGGGTTTATGAGGGTTTTGGGTTCATAGTGGATTTGAAAAACACCATTGTTTGTATCATGGATTTCATTATGGATTTTGTTAATTAAATTTGTATGTATAAAGTGAAACTTACCTTTATAGCCCTCAATGTTATAAGAAGAGAAAGAAAATATGAGGGTAGGTTGGTAAAAAATGATGGATTTTAAAGTCCATGATCAATTCTGACCTAAAGAGGTGGGATGTTCAAGTCCGTGGGCCCCATGGATTTGGACCCTCAAAATTCATGATTTCCACGGATTTGTATTCTCTAAATACTTGAAACAAACAATGATTTTGGACAAAGTCAATCATATCACCAAATCATTCACAAAATCCCAAGCATGGTTGTCACGCCGGCCGGCGTGCCACCTGTTGTACCGGGTTCAACAGATACCAGTCATAAAACCGGAGTGACACCACCGGTATGACCGGAATGATCGATATACGAATCTCTAAGTAAAATGACCTTATTTTAGAGAATTTAATTGATAAAGATTATTTTATTATTTATTTGATGAGTATAAAAGTTAAATATTGATGTTATTTGCTGGATTCAAGTATAAATGTTTAGGTATTGACGTTAACTGTCATGTTTAAATATGAGTATTTATAATTTTATTTGTAATATTGACCGGCATGAACCGGCACAAACCGGTATGTGCCACCGGTTGAACCATTTCACTTGCTAAACCGGCACACTGGCATAAACCGGTTTGACAACCTTGATCCCAAGCAAACAAGCCCTAAAATATAAGTACAAATCTATAATATTAAAAAGTAGTCAAAATGGATATTGTTAGATTTTTTATATTAAATACTATTATTTTTTAATTTTTTTTAAAGTATATAAATGAAAGAAGTGTATGTTTTCTTAAAAAAATGGTAAGGATAATTTTTATTTTCAAAAAAAGATTTTAATAGGGTTAATTGTGTTAAATATCACTTAATTATTGATTTAGTTGCACATTCAAGCCAAAATGTTTAAGAAACAAGGGTGCAAACATGTGCAAATACGACGTTATCAAATTCCCCAACATTTAACTGTTTGCTTGTCCCCAAGCCAACCAAGTTAGACACAAGGTAAGCTTAAAACGTTTTAACAATGCAAACTTGTAGGACATATCATATAGGCACAAAACACGTGAATCGTAATAGCCTTTAGACATCAACACATGAACAAAAGCAACATCAACTGGGACAACCGCCATAGATGACATTTGAGTGCAGCAAAATCGGGTAGAGGAAGAGTCTCCCTTCTGTTCACCGACCAACATAGATCTAACTCAACCACTCATTCAAAACAAGTCACCTCATGCATAAAATTCAAAACATCAGAATCAAGACCGAGCAATCTAAGTCCTCACCGGGGTATATAATATGAAAATTGAATCTCTCACTCTCGACCGGTGGGGTAAGGACAAAATTTGATGCAAGATGTGTGCATACTCATACTCTCGGTCCCTAACATCTCTTCACCATGATGGCAGCCTTTAGATGTTATAGTTCACATATCGGGTGTCCTCACTAACTAGTCAGGAGGTCTTAGACATGAGCTCAGATGACTGGCTAGGGTCTTGGACATGGGGAAAAGGCCTTTTAGCTGGTGGAAGAATTCATGACCCAAGGTTCCACAGTTCCAAACCCAGGAAATCGACATTCAACCAAACCAGTTACGTACTTTCTCTATCTGCTATTCTCCACTAACCAAGTCTTTAGAGCACAGAAGTGAAGGAGATAACAATATTAGTACTGCTAAGAAACACTACTTTGATGGGCACTATTAAAATTTATGATGGCATCTCTCTTTTCCTTATTATCAATTTTTTCATATATTTTTTTCTTTCTCTCACTTAGAGAGCTTCAACGTGCCACCTTCATTACTTTTTCATGCACATGCCCAACTTTCTAAGAACGACCTCCAATACTCACATAATTTTTTAGCAGAACAACCGAAAGCATGCAAAAAATGCTCTGTGGAACCTCTACGAGATGCATAAGGGTAATTTTCATTGAAGACATGAAAGAAAGTCACACGACTCAAAGGGGCTGTCTAAAGGGTATGACACACCAGGACAGTCAATTTGGTCGTGGGCTAATCATATGCCTCCATCATTCTAAATAGTGGCAACGTGAATGCTACACATCATGGAAGAGGGATCTATCGCACAAGAAAGAAATGAGCAGGCTCAAATCACACATAGCTACCTATATGCTCTATCTCTCATTTTGATTCCCTGAACGAGATGCATAAGTGGCTGTAGGAAATGAGGGAACAATCCAAATCGCAGTTGGTAGGTAAATAGTTGAAAAACTGAAACCCTACACAACTCTATTGCACATCTGAGTCATCATTAGAGGTTGTCTTAGTCACAAACAAGTTATCATGCATCAATGCTAACAGCCAATCGATTCACCACATAAAACCACAGTGCCCATATGTACATGCAAACATCAGTACTTGGAGCTTTCAAATCTCGAGATTTGGACAGTGGACTAGGCTCCAAACACACAAACATACTTTCCAATAAGAACAAAGCAGTACTCCCCACACTAAAGTGTGACATTGCCCTCAATGGAGCAGAGGGAAGGTAAACGATGTTACCTGGAAGGGACAATCAGAGGCGGCGACTGGAAGGCAGGTCGGTTAGGAACAGGAGACTGGAAGGGGACCAGTCCAAAGGCACAGATCTAGAGTCATCAAAACACACTGGGTGATAGAGAAAACAGACCAAAGGTCCAAATGGAAAAACAAACAAATGAAAAGCAAACACGGGTGACACTGGCAGAGACACGACAATGTTCCCTGACCCGGTCGCCCATGTTCCCTGACCCGGTCGCCCGTGCTTTTTAAGCCGAGAACACATGGGGGCGAGGCAGAACCACAGACGGACATGGGGAGAAACATGGATGCTCAGGACAGTGTAAGAACAAGTACCTCCAAGAGCATATCCACATCTCTCTTGTGGTACAACTTTAGATGGTGGACATGCACACGGCGGGTGTGGCCACCAGCACATGTCAACTCGACCTAGCCATCCGGCAGGATGCACGCGAGTGAATACTCGGATGGCTAGAGTGGTCGTGGCTCAAGAGCCGGGAGCAGCTCATAGTGGTCTCCATATGTCTTTTGAACATGCTTGGTTACTTGCAGTTTCGGCCGCCACTTCCTATTAATCTTCTCTTCTGGTAACTGAGGGAGCGGGAGTGACGGAGGAGGATGGGGCGCAGAGTCCTGCAAAACGGGAGACAAAGAGGGATACACGACAGCCTCGTGCACCTAAAATTGGTTTTTAATTTTACCATTACTTATTTTCTTCAAATAATTTCAATCGACCGCACGTTGTCTCAAATAATTTGATATGGATAGTATTTTATTATTGAATTCATAAAGGTTTAGAGGCTATTAAATTTGTCTCTATATATTCTTTATAGTTATGATTTATAGTTATATATACAGACACAAATAGATGCTTCTAATGTGAAACTTAATATATTTCACATCAATTAGGAAAAAATATTACGAGTTAGATATAAATAATATGATACAAACTGAGACAAATAACCTTTTTTCTTCAAAAATTTATCTATAGATACAATTACAATATTTGCATCAAATAATTTGCTTCTATATCCAAGTTTTCTTGTTATCTTGTTATGTATGTTTTACTTATTCTCTATCAGAATGTGATAAGTAATTAGTAATACTTATATGCATATTATTGGCAGCAAAAATGTTATGTTACTGCAGACTCACTTACATGTCGATGTCATATTTCTACGGGAAGAAGTTTGTGGGTCGAATTACACCACTGCTTTTGAAAATAAGAAGAGAAATCTACAACCAACCTTATGAACAAATCAACTGGGGCGGAGTTCGACATTTATGCGCAAAGGTAGTTCAAATTTCTTGTATCAATAACCCATTTCGCATTATATAGTTGTCAATGTTGTAACGAGTACTATATATTAATTGAAATGTTATTTTCTATAGGAAGATAATTACTATCCACATGGAGTCACACAAAAGCTTTTATGGGACGCACTTTACAACTTTGTCGAGCCCTTGTTATCACGTTGGCCTTTCAAAAGGCTGAGAGCCAAAGCTCTGCATCGGACAATGGAACACATTCACTACGAGGATGAGAACAGTCGCTACATCACCATTGGCGCTGTTGAAAAGGTATTCATATGATCATGCATCTAATGAACTAGTTACCACTTTGCACGACATGATTTCTGGGTTGCTAACTAAAATGATATTGCTCGAACCCTAATAGTCACTGAACATGCTTGCGTGCTGGGTCGATGATCCCAACGGGCTGGCCTTCAAAAAGCATCTCGCCAGGATTTCAGACTACTTCTGGCTTGGAGAGGATGGAATGAACCTTCAAGTAATAACTTATGGATATTGCAGATCGTGGTACAGTTTGACTTACATATGACAACTAAGTTGTTACTATGAAATGTATTTTTGGCTGCAGAGCTTTGGCAGTCAAACGTGGGACACTAGTTTTGCCCTCCAGGCTTTGCTTGCCTGCAGTGACCTGGTTGAAGAACCTTCAGTCATGTTTGGAAGAGGACACAACTTCCTGAAGCTTTCTCAAGTAACTGAAAACCCTTCTGGGGATTTTAAGGCGATGTTTCGTCATACGTCAAAAGGGTCATGGACATTTTCTGATCGAGATCATGGCTGGCCAGTTTCGGACTGCACTGCTGAAAGTTTAAAGGTAACTAATATGCAAATCAATACTTCCTTGTTGATGTTGTATATGATCGATATCGTTATGAACTATATAATGGATGCAGTGTTGCTTACTATTCTCAACAATGCCTCCTAATATCGTTGGAGATAAAATTCAATTCCAAAACCTCAATGATGCGGTCGATATCATATTTTCTCTTCAGGTGAATTTATAGAACTCTGTTGAAAAAATGATAATATTTCAACTGATTTTATTTACTTTAATTACATTCTGAATTATTTTAACAGAATGGGGAAAATGGAGGGTGTTCAGCCTGGGAGCCATCAGGAGAAAAATTATGGTTAGAGGTACCCGATGAAGATCTCAATACTTTATATTTTCATTTTCTTTTGAGATAATTAAATATTTCCGTCCGTCAATAAAGAAAATTCTTAGTTATAAATTTCTAATCTCTTTCTTTTATTTTCTTCTATAATATAGTGGTTCAACCCTGTGGAATTTTTGAAGGATCTTGTGATTGAATACGAGTAAGTGCATTAGTGTAGGTACATTTACTTGCACAATATATGTATATATGTGCATTTATGAATCTATGGTTAGGGTATAACAATAATTTTCAGACGTCTCCAGTTCTACTAGTTTGCTAAATTATTGCGCGAAAAGGAGATTCAACTATATTAGACCAACTAAAGCTAAATGATTTTTTTTTCTTATAGATATGTTGAGTGCACCTCGTCTTCAATACATGCCTTGGTGATGTTAAGGAAGTTGCACCCAACACATAGAGTCAAGGAGATTGAGGAATTCATCTTCAAAGCAGTGAAATTCATTGAAGACGTTCAACAACCTGATGGTTCATGGTAATGATTTCACTATACGAATACGATTAATGTATTATAATTATGGTCTAATACTCAGGTTCAACGGAATTATGAACACACAACATCATTAGTTGCTTGTTGATTTAGTTGATCATCTACTCGTCCCACTCTCTATAGGTATGGGAACTGGGGAATATGTTTCATTTATGCTACATGGTTTGGGATTGGAGGATTAGTTGCTGCAGGTAAGACATACGAGAACTGTGTTGCTATTCAGAAAGGAGTTTCATTCCTTCTTGAAACACAACAAGAAGACGGAGGATGGGGAGAAAGCTATATATCATATTGGTACATACAAGTGATTAATATAACCTAGTTAATGATGATCATAATTAACCGCCCATTCCGATTCATTAATGTATGATATGTAGGAGTATGTTCCTTTGGCTGGCGGCCGATCAAACTTGATTCACACTTCATTTGCATTGATGGGTTTAATCCTTGGTGGCCAGGTTGGTTGATCCTGATGAGAGGGCAAAACCTCTCATTACTTTTTCACATGTATCATGTATTATATAGTATGTCATAGTGATATATTTTTGTCATCATGACTCATGAGAACAAAATCTAATAGGCAAAGAGAGATCCAACACCACTTCATGATGCTGCCAGGTTGTTGATCAATTCACAAACTGAGATTGGTGATTTTCCGCAACAGGTACGAGCATGTTGTTGTTATATTTGTTTTTGACAAAGAATACTTACTTTTGTCAGTGAGTAGGGTGACCTCGACGCATTAGGGTTTTAACTTTGTCTTGATCCTCGCTACCTGTCCCTTTAGTTTGTTTTCATAATAAGAAAAAAGTGGATGAGTGTTTTCATTATCACCATCTCCATGGGGATTAAACTAATCTCGAGAAATAATTGCAGGAAATTATGGGAGTTTTCATGAGGAATTGCATGATGCATTATGGCGCTTATAGAAATATTTTTCCTATTTGGGCTCTAGCGGAATACCGTCGCCATGAGTACTGAAAATTCTTCTGGCAAGACACCAGTGAAACTAATACATGTCTTTCAGTAGGGATGAAAATCAAAGTATTGAGCTTGTGAGCTGTCTGGAGGAGTTTATGGTTTCCACTTGAGTAGAATGGGAGTTGATTTCTCTTCCTATAGAAGTAATATATTTCTATAAGATTTGGTTTCTTGGTAATAAATCATTTGTAGTTAAACTAATACGATAACATATTTTGTTGGTAATTAACTTATTTGTAGTTAAAATAATACGATAAAATTTTCTTTTATCATTAAATCCTACTTTGAACGAATCTATTTATCTCAAATACTAATTTGATTTTCTTATTATGTGGTATATTATTTTTTTGCTTTTTGGCTTCTCCAATGATACCAAAAAAAAACAAAAAAACAATTCCCTCCCCCCCCAAATCCTGACTCCGCCCCTACTTAGAGGAAAAGGAGAAAGGATTCACGAGGTTGGCAGGTGAGTTTGAAAGGGAGCCAGGTCCAAACAAACTTGAGAAGAAAAAGAGCACAAAGAGATTTAACATTGGGTTGGGTCACAGTTTCCTCCTCCAAGGAATTGAGGGCTAAGTGACGGGGAAGAAAAAGGAATTTTGGCTCGTTGACCTCAATTCTCGCACGGAGCATCCCAATAAAATTTGCAAAGTTGAAGAGGTGAGCGGGCATGAGGAAGAGTGTAATTTGGTGGATTTCGAAAAGGAAGAGGAAGAATTGTTTGGTTGTGGACAATGTGTCATGTGTCACGAAAGTTGACTACAACCTTGAGGACAAGGTCGCTTTCGAGAGGGGGTGGTTTGTTAGAAACTCGCCCTTTTGGGGTGTATCTATTAATTTTAGTAGGAAAATTATGATTATGGTCAGTAGATATTTATTCGAATTAGAATTATTATAAGGTTTTTCCGTATTTTTCTATAAATACGTAATTTGGGTTTACATATAATCAATCAAAAATAAAATTACAGAAAGTATCTCTCAAATCTTAATCTATCATTCTCCTCTCAATCTCGTCTATCTCTCTTCCTAAACATTCTATCAATTCTTTCCCAGTTCTGTTCTTCAATCCCTAATCCTCAATTCTTCTATCTAAACCCCTAATTTATGTTCCCAATCTCTAATTCTCTATTGTAACGAGTAATCGCAGGTGCCCAAGATATGAATCGAGAGAACCTTGAAAGAGGGTTTCTATCAGATCTATGGTTGCAGGCGCCCATATCGAAACCATATCGAGCTTCGAGCTCTCAATCAGAGAATTCAAAAGGAATTTCATGTTGAAGCTAGAAAAATTGACGAGGAAAGATAAGTTCAAGGTCATTGAAATTACGCTGCAACCCTCCATGGCTGTCATTTTACCACCACAACTAGCCTAGGTAACAACCAAAGAAAAGGCGTCGCCGTGCCCCGCAACGGATTCATGCGTTATTGTCCGACTTGCTTGGACGGTACGACCATTATTGTTGTTGCTGCGACTCAATCACCACCACCACCGCCCGCTACCATTGTAGTTGCCCAAACAAGTGAAGTCATGTTTGTTTCAATCGACATCCAATTTGAGAGAGCAGCAGATGAGACCCACGCTGCTGCAAAAGTGCAGCCATCTGAAACCGCATGTGGTCTTCCCGTTGTCGGCAATCTTAACAAGGTCCCTAAGCCATCTGAACTGCGAGAAGACGGGTCGATGCAGGTTGAAGATGCGGAGAAAGATTCAACATCGGATCGCGTTGCAAATTGGTGATTCCGGAAAAAAGAGTGTAGTTCATTGCTATTGGAGGGTTTGAAATCGTACCATCGACGCAGCTTCTCTCCTTGGCTAATCATCGCCACCAGCCTCGCCGACTGTCGTGCGCCACACCGCCTTCAGCTCGGATGAGATTTTTGCAGAATTTCAAGGTTGCAACGAGCAACGACGGCCACCGACTCCAGCCGTGGTGGCGTTAACAAGAAAATGGAGGCAAGCATCCTAGATCGACAACACGAAGTAAATCGAGAGTAGGTTTGCGGGGTTCTTCATCGGGAAGGCGAATTGCGTGAAGGGATGAGATACCGTCACTTCCCTCTAAGAGGGGTGTGAGATTCACTTCCCAATTTGTAACCATTGGATGCATTCTCTCTCTTGTCTCTCTCCTATATTTTTCAAACTGATGGTTAGGATTAAACAAGGGGTATTTTGGAAACGAAAAAACTTATCACATAATTACCTTTCTCATTTTCTATATAATCCCTCTTTATTAAAAAAAACCACTCTACCCTCCTCTCACGTTCTCTCCCTCCTCTCTTCTCTCCCACCCAAAATCCTAGCTCTCGTTGTCTCCCTCCGTCTCTTTCATGTCGCCGCTGTCGTCTCCACCTCCCGCTGCCTCCAACAATGACAACGCCTCCGCAACTCCTGCAACCCTCCGCCTCCCTCCACTCCCATCGCGCCTACCACCACCCGGCGATCCTTTGCCTCCCTACACCCTCTGTCTCCGCCATCTCTCTCCTGTCGCCGCGAGGTAAGGGCCTTTCTCCTGCCTTCTTCTTTCCTCATCACTTAATTTTTTTCCAGACCTGAGATTTTCCAGAGTCTAGATCTGGTTTTTTTATGTTAGTCTCTAGTGGTACTGATTTTTAACTGGTAGTGCACTAGTGGTAGCGTACCTCTACTCACTGGTAGCGGTACCAGTGGTAGTGGTAGCGTACCACTAGACGAAAATCGGTACCACTATCGCACTAAAGGAGTTTTTTATTTTTTTTTGCAGATGGGCGGAACGAGTCTAATTGAAGGATTTAAATTAAAATATGGGTTTTAATTTCCAATGTGTAATTAATACAAAAAATTAATTAATAAATTCTATTTTTTGTCATACCCAAATTGCGCTTGGATGTGAATCTCACAACCCCATAGGGGAAATGACCGTATCCCATCCCTTGCGTGAAAAACGTCGCGACCTACGACAGGTTCCTTTGAGACGGAATCGAGGGAGATGGAGACGTGGGTTGATGGCAAGCCGCAATCGCCGAAGAAAAAGGTGAAAGAATTTTTGTTAGGTGAGACGAAGAAGGGTTGCGGGTATTTCTCTAACGAACCAATAGTCAACGATCTGAGGAGGTCGTAGACAAGAAGGGTCTGATCGAACCTGCCTCCCAGCCACCTGAAAATCTTTGCACTGGAGAACGAAGCGAGGTGCCAGTGGAGAAGGAATCTAAGATGAAGGAGGGATGTGGTTCGTCTATTCCACGCCAACGCTCGTCTTCCTTGGGCCGCTGGATGGTGTAGCGACCAGAGGAATTGGACCAAAGGAAAGGAACTGGGTTGCAAGCCTTGACAGGCCATAGCAAGACTCGGTAAAGATCAGGCTAGTCTGGGGTGGATCCGATCCGTGGAGCAAGATGGGAGCTAAGCTATCTCGATTGAGATGAGCTACTAGAGCCGCACAATAGCAGGCCGCTTTGATGCCTCGAACCCAATGGGACGACAATCCCGAAGAGTCAACTTGGATGAGTAATTTCGTGGGTCAAGATCAGTAAAGTTTGGGCCGCGGGTTGGCAGGAGAAGAAAGACCACCATGGCTCGTTTGGGGATTGGTAGACCAGCATAATGGGTCGTGCACTAAATGATTAAATGAGTCTCAAGGTGAATATGAGCCGCCTCTTCATGGGAGACTTAGTCCTCAAGTGAGCTTCTAGGTTACATTCATTTTTAGTGGAAAAATACTTCAAATAAGGAGACTTGGTCCTCAAGCAGGCTCTCAAGGAAGGATGGCCCAAGAGCATTTGGAGGAGCAATTAGAGAAATTGAAGGTCTAGTTCCAAGGAGGACCAACTTTAGTCGATTGGAGGAGTCTCAACCTCGTGACCATGATCAATTTGATCATGAAAAGAGCAGGATGCTTAAGGATCTTGATGAGTTGGTACATAAGGATGAATTCTTGTACAAGAAAGTACCTTTAAATTCCTTAAGTTACAGGAGTGTGATGTCAATAGAAGAGGAGTTTAAATCTCCAAGGAAGTGAAGATGGAACCCTCTGACATGGCATTAGCAGCAGTTGAGAAGATCATGAATATCATGGAAACTAGACCGGTTCGAGTGCCTGAACCAGATTGGAAGAAAAGAAAACGAAAGAAGCTGAGGAGCTAACATGCGAGTGACACGAGAAGAGCAAGGAAGAGGGTCAAGTTGGTCAACCTTGAGGGCAAGGTTGGTCTCAAGGATGGTGGATTGCTAGAAACCCAGTTTTCTTAGGTTTCTCTATTTATTTATGGTACGATAATTATTGTTAGGGTTAGTAGTATTTGGGTAGAATTAGGTTATTTATCAGGTTTATTCCAGTACTACCTATAAATATGTATTTTGGGTTTCATTCAGAATCAATCAAGCAGAATATTAAGAAAAGTATCTTAACCCTAATCTCTCTCAAATCCTCTCAAATCTCGTCTTCTCTTCCCCAAAGGCCGCCAGCCAATTCTCTCAAATCATCCCCAATTCTATTATTCAATCTCTAATCTCCAATTCTCTATCTCTAAATCCGTAATTTCTAATTCCAACCATTAAATCCTTTCATATTTCTCTAGTTACGAGTAATCGGGGGTTGCAAAGATCATACCCGAGAAACCCTAGAAAGAAGGTTTCTAACAGGAGGTGGTAGAGGCAAATACCGGAAGCATGTCTGCTGGCGAATGATTTAATCGATAGCAGGAGTAAAAGTGGAAGACCAGGTATTGCTCTAAAGCTCGACATAGAGAAATCATTCGATTCAGTGAGCTGGGAGTGCCTGTACAAAGTGCTAAAAAATATGGCGATGAACAGGAGAATGCAGAAATGGATAAGAAGAATAGTTTCTTCATCAAAGCTCTCAGTTCTGGTAAACGGAGAATCAACGGGCTTCTTTGATATGCAAAGAGGAGTGAAGTAGGGAATCCCCTATCTTCATTCCTTTTTAACTTGGTGATGAACATATTCTCCTTCTTTCTTAAGAAATTGTAGGAATCCAGGCCATCAGAGGCTTCTGTATAGATGAAAGAGGAAGCTATGGTGAGACTAACCACCTCTTGTATGCAGATGACGTCATAGTCTTCTGTGAGGCAACGAAAGACACTGCTTTTAATGTGATGGGAACTCTAATCTGGTTACAAAGTGTTACAGGCCTGAAGGTTAATTTTCAGAAGAGTAGGCTCTTCCTAGTAGGAGAAGTTGAGAATATTGAGAGGCTGGCAGAGATACTAAGCTGCAATTGGGATTTTTTCC